AAGTGGTGCTGTGGCTCAAGTGGTAGAGTGCTAGCCTTGAGCTGAAGAGCTGAGGGACAGCGCCCAGGCCCAGAGTTCAGGCCCCACAACCGGACCCCAAAAAAAAAAGAAACATTTTCTCCTTCAGAAACACTTTCATGAAACACTTTCCTAGAATCTTTGAGGGCTGTGACCTGTGCTCCATTCATCTTCTGTCACTTATGACAACTAATGTGTGATTTTGGAACACTGCTTAATTCTCCAGCACCCTGCAATTCAGTTTTCACACCGCTCAGGCTTAATTCAATCTGCACAAGTGCTAGAATCTGTCACACTTATACAGTCTCCATCCAGTCCTTAACATGATTTGCCTATCTGGTACCTAGTCCTGTCCTCAATCCCATGGTGCTTATACTGGGACTAGTGCTTGTAAGGGCCTAGTGCTGTGTCCCTGAAGCTGTTTTGAAGTCTCATGGACTTTCTTTTTTGTTGGTGGTGGTGGTGGTCATGGGACTTGAACTCTGAGCTCAGGCTCTATCCCGGTGCTCTTCAGCTCAAGGCTAGCGCTCTACCACTTGAGCCACAGCACCACTTCCGGTTTTCTGGTGGTTAATTGGAGATAAGAGTCTCACAGACATTCCTACATGGGCTGGGTTTGAACTGTGATCCTCAGATCTCAGCCTTCTGAGTACCTAGGATTGCAGGCGTGAGCCACTAGCACCCCACTGTCTAATGGACTTTCATACCCAAGATAACGGAGGTCTTTAGAGCTCAGCATCCTGAGTAGTGAGGGTTACGCCATGGTTGCCAGGCTTCCTGTCCCCTCTTTAAAGCTACAGACAGGTGTCACTTTGTGACAGTTCATTTCCATGCATTCACACATTTGCAAGCAGCTTATGGAAAGAATCAAAGACACTCCTATTAGTTATCAAATTTCAAGGCACTTTAGGATCTCTGTGCCAGAAATATACTTTGTATAGTCTCACTTTTGGGTGCGTGTGTGTGTGAGTGTGTGTGTGTGCACGTGTGCAGGATTGGGTTTAAACTAAAGGCCTAGATATTGTCTTTTAGCTTTTTTGTGCAAAGCTTGTGCTCTACCACTTGTGTTTGTTCTTTAAAGACTATGACCTGTGCTGTCCTAGTCTGCTATGGCTTTTAACTACTCTATGCGGTGTTTTAGAACACTAATCAGTCATCCACCATCTGAGTGTCTTATTATTCAATTCTGACACCACTTACACTGAGCATAATCTGTGCAAATTTTGTAATCAGTCCAAGTCTCATGATAAATGTTTAAACACTTATCTCCAATAAAACAACAAAAAGATAGATGTAGATGTGTAGTTCAAGTGGTAGAGTGCTAGCCTTAACAAACAATCTGAGAGACAGCATCTAAGTCCAACCTTCAGTTCCCTGAATACATAAAGCATTTCTAGAGTAGGCACTACTTTTACTATCCTACACCATGCCTCCACTCCAATTTGATTCTACCCTTACCTTCATTAGAAAAAAAAAAAAAGATAGTTTCTCCCAAACAAGGTTTCCTCCTATTAATACTCGCATAAATCAGTCATGGTCACATATAAATCAACCTTTCACTTAAGAATCAACATCTGGCCCCTGCCTGCCTCCAGAAATGTGGCTAATTGTTGCAGCAGCTTTTCTGCCTCCCCTCTGGGCCAGACCTCTCTCTCCTAGCTGGTCCTGGGGCTGCTCAGGGCTTAGGAGCTGCTCCCCTTTTGGCCCTCCAACCCATCTGGGACTGAACCCTTGCCCTTCACGAGGTCCTCATCAGGGCAGGGACCAGGGATATTTTCTTGCATGTAACCTGCTGTTCATGATGATGCCAAGGATGGTATCAAGCTCCTGGGCTCAAGATATTCTTTTACATCAGCCCCACAAGTAGCTGGGATGATAGAATCTTGCAAGCAGGGTTTTATGCAGTGTCTTCAGCCTATCTGAATACATATCAAGCTGTATGATAGCTGGATTTTACGGCCTCTTCATAATTCTGATTCGTCTGAGAATGGAGAACTGGATGACAAGCCTCCAGCACCATCCCATGTTCTGATGAGCTATTTTGTACCAGAGGTAAAGATTCTTTTTTGGTTTTTGTTTTGCCGGTCGTGGGGCCTGAACTCTGGGCCTGGGCGCTGGCCCTCAGATCTTCAGCTCAAGGCTAGCTTTCTACCACTTGAGCCACAGCGCCACTTCTGGCTTTTTCTGCTTATGTGGTGCTGAGGAATTGAACCCAGGGCCTCATGCATGCAAGGCAAATACTCTACCACTGAGCCACCTTCCCCAGCCTAGTAAAGATTCTTTATCAGCCATTTTCAGACTTGTGCCTCTGGTTGGGCTGGGGAAGGAGAGATAAAAATCAGGAATAATGGGCTGGGAAGGTGGCTCAGTGGCAGAGCGCTTGCTTTGCATGCATGAGGCCCTGGGTTTGATTCCTTAGCACCACATAAGCCAAAAGGAAAAAGCCGGAAGTGACACTGTGGCTCAAGTGGTAGGGCACTAGCCTTGAGCTGAAGAGCTGAGGGACAGTGCCCAGGCCCAGAGTTCAGGCCCCACGACCAGACCCCCCCCAAAAAATCAGGAATAATATTTATATTTCTCCAGCACTGATAAAGCAAGTAAAAAGAAAGAAAGGGAACCACCAGAGAATTCTCCATCAACTGATTTTGTTGGCTTTGAAACTGTTACTGAAGTATTTACTGGCATGCCACAACAGTGGGCCAATTTAGACTTCAAATATCACCAAACTAGAGTAATATGAGTGAGTATCTGTAGGCTATGCTGAGTGTCTTCAAGTCCTATAACCCTAACACCATCAAGCAGAAACACCTGAGTTTTAATCCTCCAGATAAAGATAGCTTCCTTTCAGGTCACCAGCACTGCATAGCCCAGTTAGAATAGCTATAATCAAGAAATCTCATAAAACAGATGCTGGAGGAGCTGTGACCAAAAGGGAACCCTACTGCATTGTCGGTGGGAGTGTAAACTTGCTCAACCACTTAGGAAAGTAGTATGGAGGTTCCTCAAAAGACTCCACATAGAGCTCCCCTATGACCCAGCAATCCCACTTTTGGGTATTTACCCAAACAATCACAAAAAATGCTATACTAATGTGATCAGCACGGCTATGTTTATTGCAGCATTATTTACTATAGCAAAGATATGGAACCAACCCAGATGCCTCTCAGTAGATGAATGGATCAAGAAAATGTGGTATATATACACAGTGGAATTCTATGCCTCCATCAGAAAGAATGACTTCGCCCCATTTGTTAGGAAATGGAAAGAC